CGCCATCGCCATCGCCATCGCCATCGCCATCGCCATCGCCATCGCCATCGCCATCGCCATCGCCATCGCCATCGCCATCGCCATCGGAGAGATTGAGAAATCGGCATTGAAAAAGAGTTTGTTCAATTTATTGTCTTTGCAAAGTACTTATCTCACACGGATTTATAACATTCTATAAGGAGACTTTCTCTTAAAACAATTAAAAGTGAGTTTCAATAACTATCATATATAGGGTGGCAAAAGTCCAATAAAAAGCAACTAATTTTCCCTTTTTACCTTCACAGAGAGACCCTAGGCAGATATATAAGCAACAGCCTCCATTTTGCGTGAAAATATACTCAGATATTTGTCCGCGGACATTATCTGTTCCGAGAGGCAGATAGTTTTTCGAGAGCGTAGCTCGAGGAAAACCTTGTGCTTTGAGGAACAGATAATGTCCCAGGACAAATATCCGTGCATATTTTCGCGCCAGAATGGAGGCTATTGTTTTTTTATTCTTGAAATATTTTTCGCAACACGCGCAGTTTTTAAAATTGGGGAATATCACTTGGATATTCGCCAGTTTTAGCTGGGGGATATTCAGTCATGTGACGCGTTTAAACCAATCGCGCTCGAACGAAAGTATTTGATGAATTATAAGAAATGTTGATTATTTTATATATTTTTTTTTATCTCGTAGTGTTTTAAATTCTGTAAAAACGAAATTTCGCCCCGACGATCTTCAAACACTAGGTCGCGTAGACCATAAATAGTATCTTAGCCAGCGTCGGGTCGAAACACGAGATCATTTTTTTATAACAGGAACGTTTTTTCCCCAACAGCGCTTTCTCTGATTGGCTACTTCGATATCAGATGACATTTAACAAATGAATAAAACTATGTCCGGCCAAAAGACTCTGAGAGGGCAATATTGCAAAATCTGCGACGTCACAGGGTAACAGTGCATGGCTACCCGCAAACTTGACGAGACGAGACCGTCGCTCGTGAATTCCTTTGATGTCTTCGTCGTATTATACTGTATAACAAAATCTTGGTCGCTCGTCGAGAATCCCTAGGGAAACAAAATTAGTCATTTCAATCAGGAACAGTCTTTTTGTGTATAATATAGACTCCATACACGAAGTTATTGCAAAAGTAGTGTGTATCTAAGTTTATTTTATTTATCACTAGGTGTTTGCTGGAAACAGTGATCAAGACACCGTCGTGAAACATCCTTTGATTCCTCCGATCGAAGCACGATACATCAGACTGATACCCACAGCATGGAACAGTCACATCTCCATGAGGATGGAACTCTATGGATGTTTTGGTAATTAGCCTCTCTTTAAGGACGTTCGCGCCAATTGTTTCTGCGCATCCTTACTACGCACGCAAATTTACACACCACGTCATGCATGAGGGTCCGCGCTAAGTAATAAAATGAACAATGATAGGACAGATGGCAATGCTATAGCTTTGCATGGATTTAACGATCTTGGACGCTCGGTGACCCCTATTTTTCTTTCCGGAACAGATTTTATTTAAAATTATCTCCACAGTGTCCAAAAATGAACAAAAAATAAATGTGAGAAGTTAAAAAAAATTCCTGCCATCTTGCGGCTGCAAGGCGCGTGAAGCTATGGTCGCTAATTGCGAACTTGTTCTTTAAGGAACCTCACCAGTTGACTAACTTCACTTAATACGTCCACTTAAACAATATTTGGCACAGAACATTTCACTTCAAAGATCTAATTGCAATATTTTTGGGCTTACAGACACTGTGATCTTATTTGTCAACGAAGCCCGATTTTTTCAGATTTAGGGTGTTCTTCCGGGCATGTTCTCTGCAAAACGGAGTCGGTGACCCCCCATTTTTTTTTACATTTCTGACATAACTAACTCATCATCTTACAGTGGTAAAAGTCTCAGAAAAAAACCAATGTTGGAAAATGTTCCTGCGAACGTGCTTAATCCTCAACAATAATTAAATTCCTAAATTTCTGTATCCACCCCATGATGCAAGTGCCAAAATGTGCGCCTTCGATTTTTTTGACCGTAGATAAAGAATTCCATCGTATTGCTTCGGTAAGACAGTACAGGTTTGATGGCTGCTTGTAGTGCGGACGCAGCAAGCGTATGCTTTTGGTATCACTTGGCTCTATTTAAACCGGGATGGGGAAGTCCCTGTGCTGACTTTGATTATCCATAACGTTTACGGTATTTAGG